ATATGATAAACCAAACATAAAAATGATTAGTGACATTATGATATATCTATTTCCTTTTGTATTATCGTCAGAAAATGAAAGGGAAAAAAAAACTAGGAGAATGGAAAGAAGACAATGTTCAAATTTTATTCTCAGGTTGGTGAAACTTGCAATAAAGGCATTCTATCAATAGATAAACTAATTAGTCATATGTTTATATAAGTAATCAATGCTCAATGAGAGCATGGGAAACACTAGAAGCATATTTCAAACATAAGAGGTTTCAGACACTCCCATATGCTACTGTTCTCCAGACTGCAGCCTAGTCTGACAAATGTGGCCAAAGTCATGGGCAGAACATTCTAAATTATCCATGTTAAACATGCAATGTCAATGGTTTTACCTTCACATCAACTCCAGAGTTCAAAAAAGAGAAAGAACTGCCTTGAATTCTTTAATTAGTCTTACTCTTATGTGGACCCAACACAAGTCTTGAAGTAAAGGAAGAAAATTAATATGCAAATATCAGTGTCATACTACAAGTGTTCATCGGATCCTTGTGTTCAAATGTAACATCTACTGATGTAAATTATTTGTGGACATAAACTCATAACGATCAGGCATTTGTAAATGCTGTGTGAAGCATCCAAAAGCTGGCATGAAAGCATTCAGCAAGGTTTTTTTCTCTCTTTTCTTGTTTTCTTCCATTGTATATTTCTTTGGTAACTTAATCAGGTAAACTGGTGGCAAGTGGACTCAGGCTTCCTGCAAGTCAGTGATCATCTCTAAACGAGCTAGCATTCAATTGTTTAAAAATTAAAGCAGGATTAATGCCTACTAGAAAAGGAAAAGATTATAAACTGCAGAATCACTCAAACATATATCATGAGAAGCAAATGATACTGCTAGAGACAGGAAAACACAATAATACTATATTCTGATCCATGATATCTGCTGTCTCCAGGATAGAAGGTTTTAGGAAATACTTGAGAAAGCTCTATGTTTTTTTCACCTTAAATTCTTACCGCTACATCCAGCAGGCAAGTTACAATGAACTTGGATGCTCAAAGATGATGACCTCCCCCACTGCCCTCACTTGCTTTCATTTAAAACTTGGATTGGCCTAGAACTTGGGTTAGAAGTAATCCTTGTCCTTCTCCAATTCCATGGATATAAGAGAGAGAATCTCATACTCTCCACCAGAAATACTCAATCATAGTTCAAACAAAAGATTCTAACCAGAAGTCTACTCCACATTTTTTAACATTTGTAAACACTAATTGCACATTGACACTTTAGATGAGCAGAAAGAACTTTTATTGATTGTAGGGGATAAAAAGGTTATAAACTGAAAGCTTGAGGAAAATGACTAAACCCAGATTCCAAAGTATTAAGGGACCTGCATGAACAACTATAAAGAATATTTTTACATGTTGGGAAAGCACATCTATTACCCACCAGAGGGAAAACAAGCATGCTATGTTTATTGTGAGAAGGTGAGTTTGCAATTATATGATGCACATAGCAAAAAGATGGTATCCTACCACATCGAGACAGCATTGCATAGAGCAAGATGCCTCCCATGGAGTGTCCAATAGCAAGCAATTTACCATCCTTTGGCTTGGTTTGGGCCCTTATATACTCCATCTTCAAGGATAAAGGTGAAGCTTATTAGCATATGAGGAATATCCAAGAACTATTCCTACCCAAACTTCAATGATCATAGCAATAATATTGTGATTGAAAAAGTTAGCTGCAGAGACAGAATAGTGCATAGAGTGTCTCAGCAAGATAAAATGTCACCTCACCGCAGCTGGAACATCCTCTTCCAGGTAATTATCAAAGTCCCAGTCATACTTCACAATCAAGTCAAGCTGTTTCTGGAAATCTTCAATGATTGATGAAAGACGCTCCTGCAAGTTAAACAACTGTGGTGAAACAGATTTTTGACCTTCCTCAATAACATTAACAAGCCCTTGACTCAGATCCCTGAATTGACCAGCAATAGCTGAGTTTTGTCTTGCTTCCAACAAGCTCAAAAGCTTTCCCCTTATTTCATTCATTCGTTCAGATAATTGAGAATCTACTAAGAGTTTTGATATCTGATCGACCAACTCAGCAAACATAATCTTCAACTCACTTTCACTGAGAAAGCCAGAGAGTCTTTCGGACAAACGCATAAAGATTTCTGTCAACTTGGTCACCAATTTTGACTCATCCCACACGGATACAATCCCAGCTAGATGTGAGTCCTCTTCGACAAAAGAAACCCTAGAATCTAACAGGGGACTGGGAACATTACTTGGCTGCTGGTCCACAGACAGTGTTCCATTAGTCACACTCTTAGCTACAGCTTCCATCTCCTCAGAAACTTCATGGGCAGACTGATGAACATCTTTAGGAGTTGAACCCTGTATGCTCAAACCAGCACCCCGAACCTCAAGAATCCATGTTTCAAATCCCTGGCCAGACATGTACCGTGCAAACGAAGACTGCAACCATATAACAAGCATCAGTTAGAGGGTAAAGTGTAAAGTGTTGCACAGTCATAGAAAATACGCAGAATTGATTTTAAGATCCCCCGTGCTACAAAGGAGGACAGAACAAAATAATCACTCAGCATGTATTGGAACAGGAAACTCAAACTCAAGCTTAAAAGTTATAATCTGATTTCACTGTATCAAGTATTTTGAAGCAGTAAAAAATTAAGCTAAACTTGAGTGAATTGGAGATATTTGGGAAGGTCATTCATAACTAGAACCAACCAGACATTTTTTGATAAACTTCACATGACACACAGCGTATATTACAAACCAAGAGTATGTCACGCCGTGCCTCGCCTTCCTAGATAATGTTTTGCCTAAAAAATCAAGTAATTACTGCAAGTAATTCACATGTATCTTGCTTGAAATGGCATTAAACATGACTTGCAAAGAAAGAGTATTACCCCAGGTGAGAGATCGTAACCAACGGCATTAGTCCCAACTCCAGACAATAGCAATAGCGGATGATTCCTTGGAGGCGCCTGTAATCAAATAACAAAAAAAAAAACTTAGAAAATAAATTATGATTAAGAAAAAAAATTTAAATGAACTAGAGCATAGAATGTAGAGTAAGTTGGACCGACCTGAGGAGAAGGATGGTAGCGCCAGAGAGCAAGACGCCAATCAGAATTGGACACGGAGACGTAGTGGAGCTCGTCTGCGGTACAAATCGGAGGCTTGTCTGGAACCCTGACGACAGGTTCAGTTGACTCGGTGGAGAAAGCTCTCACTCGAAACGACTCGGGAGTTGAAATCCTATAGTGCAAGGATATTAGAGGTCGTGAAGAAAAAGGCCAACGCGCAGAGGAAGAGGTGGCGCGTGAGAGGATGAGACTGGGATTGGAGATGATGATGTTGGTTGCGTGGAGAGCAGAACGGATATCCGATTGGATAGTTGATGTTGTTGCCATTTTTTCGGCTGTCTGTGTGTTTCTTGTCTTTGATTTTTAAGAAAGAAAGAAAGAAAAGAACAGCTGTTGGAGCTGGTTCTGTTGGTTTTGATTGGTGGCGGTAGTTGTTTTGCTTTTTCCTGGTGTAGAGATAGCAAAAACGAGGACAGAAAATGCGATGCGGTGGGGATGGGATGGGCCGGTGGGTTTTGTTTTTCTTCGTCCTTTCTGCGTCTTCTCTCCATGGATCTCGTCCGCTCGTTTTTCCCCAGTTTTGACTTTTTGTGGGGACAAAATAGGTCGATGTGGCACAAGAATCTTATGAATCCCATGACGTGCACCGGTCTGCAAACCTACACAAGATAAGATTCCTCTTTTCCGAATCCCATACAAGCGATAAAAAAGGTTCTACAAAAAAAGAGGAATTAACTGTGCGAATACGTTTGACAGTGTGCTTAAAAATTATTTAAAAAAATTATTATTTTTTATTTTAAATTAATATATTTTTTATATTTTCATAATTTCAAAATTAATTTTTTATAAAATAAAAAAATATTATTATCATATTTTTTCAAATAAAAAACATTTTAAAAAATAACTACAAAGAAACTAAATAATAAATTTCATGAATTTTACCTTTAAATAACTACTTTTTAAAGTTTAGTCATCTTGTTTTAATTTTTCATTTCATCATCTATTTATCTTTTTATATACATTATGGAGTAATTACTCCTTCCTTGTTTTGAAAGTAAATTCTAAGTATTTACTAATCCAGTATTATAAAAATTCTTAAAATTTAAGTTTTTTATTTATTTTTCACCGATAGAATCAAATTTTGTCAGAAAATAGCTAGAATTTACTAATCCACTATTTTACCCTTATTTTTTATTTTTTTAGAGATATAGTTGTAGTTACTTTTTAAATAATTTTTCATGTCAAAATAAATATTAATAATTTTATTTTATTTTTTAAAAATTATTTTTAACATCAGGACATTAAAATAATTTGAAAATATTAAAAATATATTAATTTAAAATTAATAAAAAATAAAAAAATTTAAAATTTTTTAAAATACTTTCAAAACGTAAAATCACACTGGCCATAAACTCTATTGCACACCTAACTAATTCAATGTACAACTCTGGTACTCTTCTTCTTCTATACATGGTTACTAAGGCAATTATTTTAATTCGGTCCTTCATACATGTATACATACATATCTAGTGTGATCCAACACAACGTTAAAAAACAAAGTGACAGCAACGAGACTGAATTTTTAACCATTCATGTTATATTTTTGTCAATTTTTCTACAGTAATATTCTTTTGATCTATAAATTCAAACTACGACAAACGATGATGATGTCTGGAAATAAAGAAGAAAGTGAATTTGAAGTGACAAGAGTGTCTATAGGAGCAGGGTGCAAACAGAGTAGTGAATAACGCTCTATGATTTGGTTTCCTACGGTGCCCAATATGCTGTTGCTATTTTCAGTCCCAAGGCAGAGCAGAGCTTCCCCCCTCTCATATTTTTCTTATCCAGCTTACCATAACTTTATTTGTAGTTTTTCCTTAACTAACTTGCTGCTGCTTTATTTTTGGGTAGGTTTGGGACAGACTGCTCAAAGTCTGACTACACTTCCGGGTCTTAAGGCCTCTGTCAACTGCACGCACTGGATTCCAAGCATCAAGTTTGCTTTTAAAGGTGCTTTCTTTCTATATATGTTTTTTGGCTGTTCTTTCGTTCTTCGAAGCGGAAATTAAACTTTATGATTAATGTGTTCTTTGGTTGCTGAGAAATGTTAAGAGCTGTAGAAGGACAATAAAGTTAGAGTTTTTTTGCTCTCTCTTAACCATTTAGATTTGCCAATTTGCCAAATAAAACAATTACACCGGCATCATCTTCTTTCCGGGGACACTGATGGTGTTATTATTCCGTGGGAGTTAAACTCTTGCAGATCAAAAGGTAATCTGTTTCTTTTCATCTTCTTATGTTTTAATGTAATTCAATCCAAATCAGCTCCATTTTATATATAAAAAAAATGGCCTAGTTTTTTCCCTTATTTCTTAGCTATATAATTTGTTGAATCTGAACGTACGGTATCATAATTGATAACTAGGATGTTTCATTCTAGGCAGTTTTTTAGTGTTATTATGTACCCTATATTCTATAATTTCTTTTTTCAACTTTCTGTTGCTTTGGTTTTCAGTGGAGGCAAGTGTTACAGTTGCCCACAATCACACAAGAAGGGGTTACATGCATAGTTGGAATTATTATTTCTGAAACAGATTCAATCTTTGCATCTACTTCTTCTGATGGTACAGTTTAATTATGTGTGGGAACTGGTCCTACCTTCTACTGCTGGTAGTAAGCAAGTAAAAATTGTCGACTATGTCATTCTCATCAACATCAAAATATAAAGCTAAACAATGTTTAGTGTTTGTTCATGACATTTTTATAAAACAGACCAAAAGCTTACCATAAAGCTGACATCTGATCGATGGAGAATATTTTATCGACTATCTTAAGTTGATCAATGCATGCTTTCCATTTAAATTTTGTTTGAACGTTTTTTTTAGTATAGAAATGGTTATTGTAATCAGTCTACAGGTTTTGCATGCATTTTGACATCTTTAATGTTTATTGAATTCAGTAACACTTGCTTGTGTGAACTGTATTTGTCTGCATCTATATTATGTACAGATAATGGCCTCTGTGCAACACTTAATCCATATCATCCTCTTTTTTCTGTCATCTTTGATGAAGCATTGCACTAATTGCTCTTGATAATGATTAAAGCTTTGTTTGTTTCAGGTGAAAGTAAATTGTCATGTCAGGAGACCCTATCTGTTGGTTCTAAGCCTATGGTGGCTCTTTCGCTGGCAGAATTGAATGGAAATTCTGGCGCGGGTCCTTGCCATGGGAGGACTGGAGAACATGATTCATCTTTACTGCGGGGAGAGGACAGGAAGGGTTTCCAACTCTAAATTTCTAAACCTACCCATTTTCCAGCACAAAATCTTTTCTGTGCAATAGAAACATACTGTTTCTTTTCTTATATATCTAGCATGTCCATGCTTGCAATTTGAAAGCACATACAGATTGGATCAGGAGTTTGCACTTCTCATTAATTACCCATATGTATGGCTGATGAAGCAAACAGAGCATTCTGCTTGTAAGTTCGTCTTAGGACAAGAAAGGCATATGCACATGGAAGATGACCCTTAGGGCTCCACTGACCAACAGCGAGGGTACATATAGGAAAGAGGAAATAAGCCTGGCATCTTAATTATATCGAGGGTCCTTAACTTGTTGCTGGCTCTTTCTCATTTTTTTTATTTTTTATTTTTTGTCACGACTCATTGATGCCATCCATGATTGAGCAGCCATTTCAAAGAGCAAAATCACAAGGGAAAATGCCCACTAACTCGAGTCACCGGCGATCGTATATTTGTGTGTGAATGTAGACTTGTATGTGAATTAATTTAGTTGTACAGTGATTCCCAAGAAATCATCTATTCTAGTATTGCTTTAGTCCAAGCACTTTTAACTTCAAAATTCGTATGGGATCCAGTGTTTTAGGCTCTTGGGACTAGCAGCTATGTCAAATCCAAGCGAGTGCTAGCTATTTCTCACGTAGATATCTTTAGAATCTCTCAAAATTGGACATGAAGGGTGTATTCAGTGGAGTGACAGCTCCCTTCAACTGCATCTGTAGAAGGGACTACCTACCATCAGCTTCAGCTTCAATGGACAAGGCAATGATGATCTGGCAACCTGAAAGGAAAAGTGGTATCTGGATGAATGCGGTCACTGTTGGGGAGTTTAAGCAACTCTGCTCTGGGATTTTATGGGGACACCGGAGCCCAGATGGAAATGCGATTCCAGCACATGGATATGGCGGGGCTTTCCATCTGTGGAAAAATGTTGGTGTTGATGTGGATAATTGGCAACTGCAGAAAGTTCCATCTGGGCACCTTGCTGCAGTGACGGATATTGCATAGGTGAGGTCTGGTGAATACATGTTAGCAGTTAGTCATGACCAGGTCATGTTTTATTCATCACATAGGAACTGTTTCATGCATGATGTCTTTTTCCTCATTGTAAGTCCACAGAAGTTCTTTCGAGTTGATTATAGCTGGGTAAATCGATCTCATATATACAAAGTGGAAAATTAATCAGGTAACATTCAGATTAAACCTTTTAATGAACAAATAGAATCTTGAAACTGACATAAATACGAAAAGTCTCTCAAGTAGAGGCATAACATTAATTTAATATCAGAGTGATTTGTAAATACGTTTTATCTCATGTCTTCTTGCTGTTGTTTAAGGGAATCTGTCAATCACATCCTAGGTATACACAAGAGAGTAGATGTAACGATATGAATATTGCCTCTACATAATGGTGCAGTAAAAGTAGGGGTATACTTCAGTTTTTGTCCAAAAACAAATTATAAGCAAAAAGTACCAGAAGAAAATTCATGCCACCTTCGGTTTTATCTTGTCAACTTATTGCCTGTGGATTTAAGGAAGAGAGATCATTTTATCCTTTTGAAGAAGTTGTTAAAAAAAAGAAACAAAATAGTTAAGGGAGGAGCTTAGAAGAACCATCCTTGAAGACATTCATGTTGTCAATTTCCTGTAAGTGTTATTTTGTGTCATTGCGTAGAACTAAAAATATGATATTGTGATTAGCATACATCAGAATTTTGCATGTCACTTTGACAAATCATCTCAGATAACTCATATTTTTGCTCTATGGAAAAGCAATGCTTCTCTCGTGGATAAGGAACCTTGGCATGAATTTGGTCGCCCTGAAATCCATGGTCACATCAATTGTGTGGCCATCATCCAAGGAAAGGGAAGCCATCGTTTCTTTGGCGGAGCTGATGAGAAAGTTGCCAGTGCGTTTGAAGCTCCTTTATCTTTTTTGAAGACACTGAATCGTTTCTTCATAGAAAAAACAAAAGGGGAGGACTGGCTTCAAATTCTTCCTTGGAGGACCTAGCTTTGTTGGGACCATAATTAGATAAAGGCTCTTCTTTTTTAGTGATTATAACAAAAAAGTTAACGGCACGTCAGTTTTTTTAAACTGATGATGTTCTCCTATTTGTTGTTCATAAGAGAAGACCAAGATTTATTGTAACTAGCAGCGAGTGCAAGTTTCAAAAACTAAAAGCATTTAACTGATGTTTTGGCTGCGCAAATCTGTGCAGGAGATCCCAGAAAGGAATAGGAATGATGGTCTCAACACCCTCGAAAGCATTCCTGATGCAGTTCCATTTATGTTCACAGAACCTCCTAATTATGAAGATCAACTGGCATTCCATACGTTATGGTCAGAGTCGCAAAAACTTTACGGTCATGGAAATGAAATTCTTTCCTTGATCAGCTGCGATCGTGAGGGGAAGCTTGTCGCTTCCTCGTGTAAATTTCTTGTTAGATATATTATGTTTTTCAGGCCCGGTCTGGCGTCCCCACCATGCATCCAATAGACATGTTGGCATATTATGGCCATTGGCTTCCGTAGAAGCATTTATATGGAAGTAATTTGGTTTCATTTTCACTGCTGTTGCGGTCAAATGGGAAACAGTTACATTTCATAGACAACTTATAATTTGGGAACCCATAGAAATGCGAATGAAGAAAATATTTTTATCTAAAGTTGAAGTGATTCAGTAGTGAATCGGGAGGGCTGCACATTCGAATACATCAAAAAAATTATTTTAAACTGGAGATATATATTATTATACACACAAACTTATGTAAGTTACCAGCTATGGCACTCTATGCTATTTGCACAAGTGATGAGTGGCATTCTTTCCAATACATGCATGGATTTTCTATGATTGCTCTAATTTCCCCCCTCTGCAAACATGCAGGATGGTTTTGGTGGTTGTAAATCTTTTGTTAGATATATTATGTTTTACAGGCCCGGTCTGCAATGGTAGCAGAAATATATGGCCATGGCGCAAGTGGGTTCCTGGAGGCTGGAAGGCAGTTGGTCGTTTGAAGTCACGTAGCTTAACAGTGACACAAATGGAATTCTCTCGTGATGACATTATGCTTTTGGCAATGTCAAGAGATGGGATGTTCTCCGTTTTTACAATCAAAAGAACAGGGGCACCTTCTCATGCATTTATTTGCTGGTCCTTGAAGCCATGCATTTCCAATTGGCACGTTGTTTGTGTGAACTGTGAAGCACATCGAAGAATTTCATCTTCTTGATAAGAACAAAAGGAAATTGATAAATAAATAAATGGGGATCCATTATAATGGATAGTTGATTGATGTATTCTGTTTTGCTGGATTGGTTTGGATGCGCTTGGACTGGTGAGCGTACAGTAAAGGAGGATCTATTACCATTTCTTGTAGAACTTATCTCTAAAATATCCTACACAAGTATCTAAAATGAACAGTGGAGCTGCATTTTGGTGAACTGTTGTATTCTTTTATTGGGTTTATCTTTTTAGTTTCATAATTAGATGGTGAAATATTAATTCCAGGACTTATATACCATCACTAACTTCAGGGTAAAGCATGTTTTATATGGAAATTTGTATTTCTCGTTGTGTGATTAGCAGAGAGTTGCTTGAAAGTGAAATATTTGTTATATTTTTATTTTTTTTCCTGTTGAAGATTTATGGGAGAAGGTTGCCAAAAAGATAGCTTTAGGCTCGTCCAGAATAGTATTGATTTTTTTTTTTTGTTATAGTGATTTGCTATGAAAAAATTAATTTAAAATAAAATAATTAAATTTAAAAAAAAACATAGCCACGCTGTAAAAACAAATTCTCTTTTAAATATATGTTTGGTTCTCACTTGAAATACATAAACATGAATTTGGATTTTTTTTTTATATTATGACATCAAAATTATTAAATAATACTAAAAAAATATTAATTTAATATTTTCATATCAAATACAATTTTAAAATATATCCCAACACAATTTTAAACACAAAAACAAATTATATTTAAAAATATATTTGTTTTTTCGTTTAAAATACGTTTTAGAAAAAAATTTATTTTGAAATTTTTAATTTATTTATTTCAATTTAATTTATTTATAATTTTACGTTATTTTAATATAGTGATATCAATCTTCTTTGTGGTCCCCTTGTACCATGCATTTTCGAAAGTTCATTCCATGAACTGACCTTTGAGGAGACAGGCAGCCATTGATTGAGAGTCCGAGGCAGAGGTGGAAGCCCTTACCTCACTTGCCAATGTGAAAAGCTTCAATGATCTGTTTTATATGCTTAAACATGCAAGAAAAACAAAGGATACCTCTCTAATCTCCACGCTTTCCAGCATGACATGAGAAGTTTAGGCGCAGCATTTTCTTCATAGCTTTCTCAACAAGCACGCCTGGGGTTGGATATGACCCGGTCAGGACTTTAACATTGAATGTTAGATTGTCAAAGATCCCAATCTATTAATTAGCCCCCAAATGCCTCTTAAAAGATGCTTAGCCACTAGAAATAATTTGCCATTCCTATCAAGTGCTAAACACTCACGCCAGTGATGGACACAGGCATTATTGTTTTTACTATTACTATTATTATATTTTGGCAACAGAGAGACTTGAACGAAAATATTAACGCTTGTTACTACTAGAATTATTTATGCATTTTAATCTATGATAAAATGCAATGTATTCACAGTCTAAAACCCACACAACCTAAACTAAGTAGAAGTTGACGGTATCCCTTCTCTTACTTTGTAAATACTGCCCGCTATTCACTTCGTCAGGAATAATGGCTGGGAGGACAAATGAGAGGGGTTGGGTGTGATGATTTCCTCACTTGACACGCTAAATAAAAAGCCTGGGAAAGAAAAGAAGTAATCCACCCTACCAGCCTATAGCAGCATACAATTTGCGTAATTAGATTGAAAGAAAAATTAATTAGAAGATGAAGATCCATCCTTTTACTTTCCAACCTTACTCTATCGTACGTATTTCCTTCTTCTCTCTCTGTTTTTTTTTAATAAATAGAGCTAT